AAAGGTGCTCCGTTTGAGTTGAAACCTGCTTGCCTGGGAAGCATTTCAGACCAGCGCCGATCAGCTGAGAAGAGCACAAAATGGCTGCCGGCTGCCTCCTGGCTTTTAGCTTTTTGGGGCTCTTTTTTGACTGTTCTGGGGGCTACCAAGGCACTGTGAAGAGCTGGGCTCAGTCTACAGTACCTGGTAAGTGACTTTATTTTAATTTTTTAAAAGTTTCTGACCTTTTTCCCCATAAGAATGCATTAATTAATTTTCAATGCATTGTTATGAGAAATTTGGATTCCACTTGCAAACTTTTCAACTAGTTCTGGGCATCTAATAGAGAATGTATTTCCAAAGGGTGTTGCAGCAAGGAAACTAACTGTGCCTCATGACTTCTAACTGGATTACAGTACCTGCTTCCTGATTTCAGCTACTATAGTTTGTATTCAGTTTTTTTGGCTTTGTGTGGCCTAACCTGTTGTGCCTTGCATGGTATAGATGTTCAATTATGTCAGAAACCCGAGATTTGGTCTTATGCTGAGCATGTGCTACTGCTGGTGAATGGGTTAAGCTTTGTGTTGCTGTTCTTTTGCATAACCTAAAGTAAATAAGGAAAACCAGCTGTTAAACAGTTTAACTCCACTATTTATCCTCCACACAACTAAAAGGGACCTCTCAATGCAGTGCCAAATCAGACAAACCATTTCTAACTTAATATAGGCTTGAGCTCTGCTGGGCAGAATTGCACAACAATCTCATCTGTCATTGAGACATTTCTATAAGCATGGGGAGGAGGTGGATGAAAGGAAATGTAAAATATAGGTAGAGTGGTATAGGTCTTATCACTGGCTGATAATGGTCTATATTAATGCCACTGTTCACTTTACATGGTTCAAATGTTATTCTGTTATAGTTTATTAAATATTCTATTACACTATTTGGTTCAGAATATATTTTCCCTGTGTTCCTCCTCTAAAAATTAAGTGCGTCTTAATGTCCGGTGCGTCTTATGGAGCAAAAAATACGGTAATAGGCTCAAGCTACAGGAAGCCAGATTTAGTCTGAATACCAGGAAAACTTCTGAATGGTTAGAGCAGTATGACAATGAAACAAATTACCTCAGGAGATCATGAGTGCTCCAATGCAAGTATTCAAGAGAAAATTGGGCAACCATCTTTCAGATCTACTTTAACTTGGATTCCTGCATTAAGCAGGGAGCTGGACAATGCCATAAATATATCAAGTCAATATACATGCTTACCCTCTCTCCACGTATGATTGTGGTCCCTTTTTCTTGCTGTTGTGAAGCAGCTCCTTGGGGACCAGGAGGGCCCATGACACCCCGTTCACCCTATGGTTTCCCCAAGCAAACATAAAGATAAATGAAGGAACAAGAAGCATCACCATACACAGCCCCCTCCAAAAGGGGGGGGGGACATAATACACAAATAATTAAAGATCTCAATTAGAAATGGGGGTATTTGTATTCGTATTTGAATACGAATATACCCGCGCAGCTGGATTTAATGAGGGGCCAGCCCCTGGGGCCAGACTGTCCACTCCTGTGTCTGCCAGCAGTGGCCTTGCTCATACTTTCAATCACTCCCGGATACCTGCTCTCTTCCTCCTTGGCTGGCCACATGGCAGCTGTACAGGGAGACTTGTCCTCTCTCCCCTGCCTGGAGTGGCTAGCTGAGCAGGAAGAGAGCGGCACTCTGGGACTGATTTGAAGGATGAGCGAGGCTGTCACTGGATGTATGAGTGGATGGTCTGGTCCCAGGGGCCAGACCCTTGTTAAGTCTAGCTGTGCAGGGATATTTGTATATGATTACCATAATCTCTAATCTCCATTTATCTGATCAATTATTTTCTTTTTAAATTAATGATCACCAAGCAAACTTGGATACAATTACCCAGTATTCCCAAGATATAACATTATATATGACCAATTCACCTGAGCCTGATCCTTTAGAATAAATGTAATGAGTCCTGCAATAAGAATAGACACAGAGCCATGGAAATAAAGCAAAATTTATTTTTTCTGATCTTTCCATAGAACCATCCTAGTATTCCTGTTTAAGAAAATGAGATACAAATAGAAGTCACAAAAATGGTTTAGGATTTTTTAAAAGTCAGAGAACATATACATACAACTTTCTCTGATCTCTGTAAATATTTTCTTCCTAATTTGAAAGCTGTAATAAAAGAAAACATATACAGTGGTGCCTCGCTAGACAGTTACCCCACATAATGGTTTTTTCGCTGTACGATGGTTTTTTTTGCAATCACTATAGCGATTGCAAAACGATGTTTACACAGGACAAAACGCTTTATGATGATCAGTTCCCTGCTTCGGGAACTGATTTTTCGCTTAACGACGATCAAAACAGCTGATTGTCGGGTCTTCAAAATGGCCGCTCGCTGTGCAAAATTGCTCCCTGCTGTGTTTTGGGACGGATTCCTTGCTATACAGGGAGCAGAAAATGGTTGCCCTATGGAGGATCTTCGCTGGACGCTGAGGTATTTCGTCCACTGGAACGCACTGAATGGTTTTAAATGCATTACAATGGGCTTTTTTATTTTGCTTGACGAGGATTTCGCTCTACAGTGAATTCGATGGAACGGATTATCCTCGTCAAGCGAGGCACCACTGTATTCTAGAAATATGTACAGAAGAATAAGAAATTACAGCATTGTCACTTTAGCTCTGGTAATGCAGAATCCCAAAATCTGAGGGGGAAAATGTATAAAAGATTATCATAAATATAACTATTTTAATTACATGTGGAAATCCTGGTGGCACAGTTTAAACTAAAAGGAAGTTTCCTGCCCTGCCATTGCATGTTTTGAGACTCCCTATGGCTCTCTTTTTCCATGAAAAAGCCTTAGGGAGCCTCACGACAGCATTGGGTCCTGAGGCTCCCAAATGCTTCATCACAGAATTCAACATTTTAAGACCAAGAATTGCACCTGGATTGCTACTGGCAATCCTGATCTCAATGCCTGTGGTCCAGCAGAGATTTTTGACTAATAAAGGCTCCTTCCCATCTCCTCCATCTCAAGATTCTCTAGGGCAGAGGTTGTCAACCACCAGTCCCCGGCATGGTGCTGGTCTGTGGCCTGAGTCGGACTGGGCTGCAGAGCCAGATCTCCTGCCCCCCCACTTCCCTCCCTACAGCTGTTTTGTGTGCACATGTGCCAGTGCTAACACTCCCCCCTTTCATGCATACGAAGGGGTGGGTGGGCACATGCAAGGGCGTGCAGGTGCTCCTGTGCATGCACGAAGGGATGGGGGAGCGCTCATACTGGCGCTGGTGTGCACAAACACAACAGGCTGCCCTGCCTTCCTCAGCGGCTCAGCCGGTCCGCGGTCCCAAAAAGGTTGGGGACCGCTGCTCTAGGGCACAAGAGGCAGCCTCAGAATCTATGGTAGAATAGGAACCTTTCTATTTGTTTAAGTTACATTTTCCAGCACCCAATCTGGGTAACACCAGAATAAATTTAAGCAACATAATTTCACACTGTATGTTCATTCAAATAATTTTGACATTCTGAAAATATTACTTTATAAATTACAGAAACAGTTAAGTAGGACAATGTTATTAAACTGAAATCTGGACATTCAGTAGAATTTATTAGTTCAATCAATTTTTAAATCAAAAAGTCCAATATTCTCTCTATTTTAAATTTTTATTTCTTACAGCTTTCAATTAAGATTGCTGAAGCATCAATGCAAGAGGATGGCTTCAGGCTTGTATTAGGCATGCCTACAGCCAAACCATGGTTGCTTTTTGATTAAAATAACAGTTATGAGCCAGGTGGAATGCATGTTGAAGTCACTCTGCTCCAACTCATTGCACTTGCCATATTTTATGATCATCTTTCTGGAAATTGGAAAAGTTACCTTTTGAACTAAAACTCTAAGAATTCCCATACCATGAATAATGGTGGTAACATTTCCCATTTGTCATGCCCAGGAGACAGAGTAGAAGAGGATTTTTAATAGTAAAGGACACCTTGGGTGGGCAACTTTTCTAGATTCTAGAAAATTCTAGTCTACTTTAGTAGGATTCGAAGACTAGAAGCTGCTAGTTCATCAGCTGGCAAGGTCTATGACAGCAAGTGACTGTTATCAAATGTTGACTCTGGAGTCTGCACACTTGGCTTGTCTGACTTTACAATTGGACTGTATTTATTGAGACTCTGCCTTTGTTTTGCAGACACTGACTTCGTATTCTCCTTGCCTGATCTGTTTGCTTTCTGAGTGAAGCTTCACTGGTGATTTCTTTGGATTACTTGACCCACCTATTTTGGCCTGCTACCTGGAAACAGGACACAATCTTTGATTCTTCCATGGAAGGTGAAGAGTTTAATAAAATGCAATATAATTCATTGGGAGCCTAGCAATAGGGATGGGTAAGGTGCCTTTAATAGTCAAAAATTGCAGCCAGATTGCTGCTGGCAGTCTTGATCCTGGTGTCTGTGATCTGGCAGAGAATTGCTGTTCCCCCAATCCCAATGCTCAAAAGGTTTCCAAAGGACAAAAAGGAGCTTTAGGAAGCCTTAGAACCTGAAAAAGCACAATAAGAACTTTTTATTAGTTTAAATTAAATATTTCCAGCACCCAATATGGGTTACAATAGAACAAATTTATGCAACAAGATTTTGCTCTATATGTTACTGCGGAAATAATTTTGAATTTTGAAAATATTATCTTTTTAAGATATTGAAGAAGCAAAGTAATATTTTGGTACAAGTCTTTCGAGTGCATATATTATTTTAAAAAGTATCCAAAAATTCTGCTGTTACAGTCCAAGCATCTGGCTGCTTAGCTGGATTTTGCTCTGTGTGTCTAGTATTATGAGTGACAGAGAGTGTGTGAGTTCCAGAAAGACCAGCACCCCAGACCTGAGAAGAAGATAGAGAAATCGCAAGGAAAGATGGGATGGTGAGCCTGATACTAATCTACAAAGAACTGCAAAAGCCTATCTCACAGCCATAAATACTGCACTCCCAAAGCCAACTACACCAGAGCACAGAGTGCTGTCCTCTGAAGATGCCGGCCACAGAGACTGGCGAAATGTTAGGAAGAACAACCTTCAGAACACGGCCAAAGAGCCCGAAAAACCCACAACAACCATTAGATCCCAGCCGCGAAAGCCTTCGCAAATATATTGAACGCCTCTACCGGGAGGAAACAGTCAGACAGACCCGGAGACTGGAAATACTCCAAAGCAAAAGAGCACACCTACTATGTTCCTTAACATTCTAGTACGCTGCAGAGACACAAAAACCATACCAGCCTTCCTCAGGACAAAAAGGACTGTCATTTCCCCACAGGCCAGCCACATCTACGACTGCCTGGAACATGCCCTCCTACGGGAAAGAATCCACACAACCCACAAAAACCTGGACTCCACAGACAAAGAACTACTAGGCCTACACATCACTATCAGCCAAAAAATGAGAACTCAAGATTGGGGCAAGATTGATGCCCTCTCGTACAAAAAGATGGAAAAAGAAATTATACGGGAAAGAATCCACACAACCCACAAAAACCTGGACTCCACAGACAAAGAACTACTAGGCCTACACATCACTATCAGCCAAAAAATGAGAACTCAAGATTGGGGCAAGATTGATGCCCTCTCGTACAAAAAGATGGAAAAAGAAATTATAAACCACACAGCCAGACAAAAATAGAAATTCAACAAATGCCAAACAAGCCAACAAAAACCTACACTAGATACCACACGCATCATCATCAACTTATTGGGACGCCAACTCTCCCCAGAAGAAACCTCAGTCTTAAGCAAAGGAGAAAATTTTGCAATCACACCCAGTAAAATTCCTGTGGAAGACATAATTGCCAATGTGGAATCAGCATTATATCATCTTCCAGAAGAAAAAGCAGAGGAAATAAGAGGGGAAGTGACTAGGATCCTACGGAAAGCAAAACCCCCCAAAAGCAACGTAACAAAAAAGGAGAGAAATGCCATCAAGTCCCTGAACTCAGACCTGGACATCATCATCCTGCCAGCAGACAAAGGCAACGCCACAATAATCATGGAAACAGAAGAATACAAGGACAAAATCAGAGAACTTCTAGACCCCACCACCTACAGAAAACTGAAACGGCACCCAATCAACAAAATCACAAAACAAACATGCTGATCAAGAGTTCCTCCATGCACCCCAATGTCCTTCAAAGTGTCTACAAGACAGAAGCTCTCCCACCAAGAGTATACGGACTTCCCAAAATCCACAAGGACTCAATCCCACTCAGGCCCATTGTAAGTTCCATCGGCTCCCCAACATATGAATGAGCCAAACACCTAGCGACCCTCCTAG